CCCTCTCCCTCTCCCTCTCCTCTCACATTGGTTAAAAAGCTTTGTAAAGATTTGGTGGTCAACTGGAGCCTCCTTAATATTTGAGTTGTTTTGAAACCACTTCATGTTTCTTTTTTTCTTCTTTAAGCTGTGCAGCCAGAGGATAGAGCTGCTCATAAATTCAAGTGTGCTGCAACCTCTGCAGACAGGCTCATGGTAACTTTACAGTAATCTACTTCTTGCTACGGTAATAATCTCTGCTGAATTACTTTTTTCTTCTTCCAGCTCCCTGAGAAGCTTTTATATTCTCAAGGTTGCAACTGGATTCAGCAATACAGTTTTGGGCCAGAAAGATACACGGGTCCCAATGCCTTTGGAAAATTGCGCAAGTGCATGGAAGCATTAAAGACAAGCGTGAGTATTTAGGAAATGATGAGGGAGAAAAACAAAGCAGTGAGAAAAGGGTCAAATGAGGGAATTGTTACATATTTCTGTCCCTGTCTTCCAAGTTCAGATAGTCCGTCTGCTGTGCAAGCCTTTTGAAAGAGGGATTAAAGCTTGGCCTGGCTAGATCTTGCACAGCCTCCACCTGCGGGCTCTCTGGAGCATGTCACCATCTCTTTCCTCTTCCCACCTACTGGCATGAGCACTGACTGCCCTCCTGCCTTCAAGTCATCAAAAGGATGTTAGTATGTGGTGGGCTTCTAGCTTTAGGCTAAGATTACATTGAAACTCTTCCCCTTACTCTGTCATTTTCAGTTCTAGAGTGCATCTTACTGTTCTGTGTGGTCTTACTGCAGCCACAACAGCTGGTTTTGCTTGTCTGTGTTGCCACCCTGTGTGGCAACAAGTCATTTCAAAGGCTGACACAGTGATAGCAACCAACTGTTTTTTTAAGAACCAAACAGACTTATTTAGCTCTAAGAACAAAGAAATATAAGTAAAAAGAGGGAATTAAAATAGACACCTTGCTCTGTCTCTCCTGTCTGCGTTTTGCTCTGCCCGGTAACAAGAGAGCTCTGCCAGCCCTCTTGAGACACACTTGCTCTGTCCTGTGTACAGTTTTTTATTCTGCTTGCTATCTGTGTTTGAAAGAGTGTTGGGTCGTTGAATATTTTTTCCTGTTTTGTCATGTCGTGTTTCTCAGTTAGTTTCTGTTAGTCCCATGGGATGAAGCAATTAAATTGGAAGTCAGGCCGGTGAGTTGTTCTATTAACAGATTGTTGCAGAACAGTTTAATTATGCATTGAACTGTTTTTGGTTGGAGATTTAGCTTCCTACTTTTAACGTATAAAGGAGTTTTTTGGCCAGCGAGATGGATTTCTGTTGTACCTCTACTCACTAACAGGTTTTATGGTGTATTTAGTAGTATGCAGTGCCAAGGAGCTGGTGCTGGGTTCTGTTCTATTTCATTGTCTCCTCCCTTCTGTATTCAGCAGACACCCTAGGAAATCTTGTGAGTTCTCATAAGGTCTGAATAGGCTGATTTAATAGATATTACTCTGTGCCCAAGGCTGAGGTGCACACATCTGCTGTAGCTGTTGCTTTTAGTTAAGTTAGATTTTTGCTAGAATTCAGAGTAAAGGAGCTGTCATTACACAAGAGATCTCTTCCCCACCCCAGTCCTCTCTGTGCCTTTGCTTTTGTCTTGTCCCTTCTCCTTGTCCAGCTGACTTACGTAGACCTCAAGAATCAGAGCACATTAAAGGCATGCCAATGTGAACGATTTGTTAGCTCATGCTGGCATTTCCAGTTCACATGTATTCCTTTTAATTGTCCTGCACTGGAATTGGACACAGAATCTAAAGGATTTAAACTAGCATAGTTTTAATCTGAAAGGCACTATAGAGGAGTCTGATTGATGGAAGCTGTAAGTTAAAACCAGATCAGAAGTCATTACTTAATTTAATCTTTAATTATCGCTTAGTGTATATGATGCAGCAACACAGATTTCCTATAACTTTCTGAAGTCCTTTACTGGTTATTTTGCTTTCAGACTTCCCATTCACGGTAACGTATTGTGCTAAGGTACAGACTGCCCATTATTGCTCTTTTGGTGATATTCTTATTAAATAGCATTCCTAGTAATTTGATGATTTTTCTTTTGTGTGCTTTCTAGTGGGCTGAAGCAAGCAGTATTAAAGACCATGAAGAAAGAGGAAATGTGTGTAACATACTTTTTTCTGATGAGATCAAGGAGCACAAACTATACGAGGCTATAAAATTTGTCATGCTCTATGAGGTTGTCGAAGCCTATGAGCAGATGAAGAACAGGGAGGGACATCTACCAAACCTTTTCAGCCTCCTCCTTGCTCGTGATTCTTCTTCTGACCCCTTGAGCTTCATGATGAATCATCTGAACACCGTAGGTGACTCTGGTCGCCTAGAACAGGTAGGAATATAAATGAAAAACAAATCACAAAAGTTATTCCTTCTCTGTTGCGACTGTGTGAACATAACATTGTCTGTGATAGCTAGGCCCAATATTGAGAATATCTTCAAACTATTAAGTTTCTTATTTCTGATTATAAAAAAAAAATTAAGTAAGCTGGGGGACTGACCTTGAATTGGGCCATTTTTGAGAGATTTTATTTTAGTTTTCTCATCTGAGGAAGAGACGTTTGATAGAATTCTTTCTCTTCTAGGTTGAAATGCTTCTTCTTGGACACTTACTGGAAGTAAAGATAAAAATTTACAGACTGCATAAGTTTAATACTGAAGAGTTTCAAGTAAACTATCCACATGAGTATAAAAGAGAATGGCATGAGATCTCTCTTCTGACTGAGGATGACCGCTACTATCACATCCCTGTTACCAGAACATGAGGGACCAACGATCTTTATTTTCCTTTGTATAATATAGTGAGTGACCATTTCCAGTGAATTAGGTCTTTTAATTGGCAGCAGTAAGATTTTGGTAGATGTGTATTTATGATTACAAAATAATTTATGGGTTTATTGTGTAAACATTTTGCTTTCTCGTTACAACTTGATTCAACAGGAGTCAGATATTAAAAAAGAACATAAAAAAGCCATAAAATATATGCTCTCTAGGTAAAAAATGTTATAATTGAGGGTTGTCAAAAAAAAGATTAAATCACATCTTGAAAAAGAAGGTAGTGCTAGGGTTTTCCATCAGGAAAACCCTGACGAAGGGTTTTCTCTGACCTATCCAGATGGGTTAAACTCAAGTTTCTGAAGCCATTGCTACCTTTCCCTGTCCATCTCCAGTTGGGCAGATGCATCACTCGGGAAGCAACTCCAGGCTCCCTGCCATTTACACACTGTAGATTAAACTCGCCCATTTGGGTCAGGTAGAGCCCCGTGCTCCGGGTGTCCCTGCTGGAGCAGCAGGGTTGGACTAGGTGATCTCTAGAGGTCCCTTCCAACCTCAGCCATCCTGTGATTCTTGACTCGGGGCTGCCCAGCGTGTGAGGAGGTAACGAGGGCTGCTGAGCAGCTGCTTCGCATCCCGTGCAGCCTCCTCTGCTGCTGCTGAAATGTCTCCTCGAGAGCAAGGGCTGCAGCCTGGCCCTACCTCAGGCAGTGCTCAGGCCGGGTGGCTGCAGCTGAGGAAGTGCTGCACAGAAAACAAGCTCTGTGCCAGGAGATCTGCAGATCTACTTTGCAGCAGGAGAAAGCACATTAGCTCTTTAGAATCTGAAAGAGGCAGTATTAATTAGTAACATGCAACATCGTTACACCCACTAGCTGTCTTTGGTTTTTATCAACTTCTAAATCTCTGCCTTTTTATTTTTTTTAAGGGCCGATTTCAGCATTACTGCCAAGAGATGTGAAGATTTCTTTTTCAAAGGGTCTGAGAAACCTCTGCACCGAATATGTTCTCAACACTTAATTTTCACAAAAGGTTCATTTTTTGTGTGTGTGCATTTAGTAGAGCATGTGTGTATTATATCCTCTGTGTATATAGCAATCTCTTTGCATAATATTGCTATCTTTAGTCTGAGCTTCAGAGTTTGAAGAAGTTTTTCTGGGAAAACTAAGACTTGCTTTGGTATGTGGAATGCTTTGTAAAGATCCATTTTCTAAAAGACTGAACTATTTTGATTATTTCTTAAACAAGGGACCTTAACAGGAATGCATATTCAAGTGATACAGCAGATTTTGAAAAAATATTTATATGTGAAAAACTTATGATGCTATAGGCATACAGGTTGCATTCAAAAGTGGTATTTTATTAAGAAATGAAGCCTTTCCTTAACAAGGATGGAAATATTCCTAGGAATATGGGGACAGGCAAGTTTGTTTCTAAATCTTGTGGGATTCAGTATGAATCAGTAACAGAAATGTGAATTGGGCCTGCAGGAGTGAAGCTGTGCTGGGTGGTGACTCAACAGTAAGTTTTGGAGCGCGTAGGAACTGTTCTGTTCCTTTGGAGAAAGGAAAGCTGTTTTATCCCTTACAGTCCTTTGATTTGTGTGTATATGTATATATATATTTATAAACACAAACAGCTGAGTTCCCTACTGCAACATTTTTTGTTTCTTGAAAGTTTTTTGGAATTCAATTGTGCTCAGTAATTTGTAGCTTTTAATTAGAGTGCTTTGATACATATAATTCATCTCATCAAATCCTACATAACAGCTATTTTATTTATTAAAAGAAACTCTATATTTTCACTGAATGAAATAACTGGTTTCCTTTAGGTTCTGCTGCACATGGAGAAATATTATAATGCCTGAGAGTGGGGTGCTGTTACCTGTGGTGCACCAACAGTACACATACCAGCTACACATTAACAGACTAGTCCCTATTTTATTTTGGTTTTTGTACAGACATACAGAAGACAGGGTATATTTTTACAGTGAGCATTTTTAATGGTTTGTGTATGATTTATGGCTAGCAATACAAAAGCATTACTGCTGGACATGGTAAATTGTAAAAAAATACGCGTTGTTTTTGTAAGCTTAAACTTGTATGTAGAAGGGTGTTAATAAATATTTAACATGGGCAGTGAGATTCATTGTGTTGATTTGTGTGCTTGCACCTGACCTGGATCACGCAGGGCTCCCTGCCCAGCAGTGGGTGTTATGGTGGAGGTAGCGAGAGGAATTGGTCTCCACATGGATCTGGATCTCCTCACCGACCTTACCAGGAGCTGGGAGCAAGCAGCAAAAGTCTTAAATCCCTCTGCTCTAGAAGGCTGGAGTTGGGTGAGATTATTTTTGTCCCAAGTGTCTGGAAAGGACGTGGTGAAACAGAGCTGCTCAGGTGTCTGAGCTGTGAGCTGAGTCACAACAGGAGCAGAAACGACAGCTGAGGAAAGGCAAACTTCAGCTGAGCATAATCCTAAGTCTTGCAGATAAATGCAGAGAGCTCTATGCAAGACCTGGAGGGATGCTGACATGGGTTTGTGGTTGCATTGATTTTAATCGGGGTTTCGAAGCATACATTTTTCCTTTAATATGTGTAATGGAAAAAAAAAAAAAAGATTTTTTTTTCTCATACGTAAAATTGTATAAAGAAAATCCTCCTGAATAAGTAGCATCTGCTGGTACTAACTGATGTTGGTTTAAAAAAAAAAAAAAAAAAAAAAAAAAAGAGACAGTAATTAAACTACATGCTGAACACAGCATGTAGATGTCTGTTATAGTTCCTCTATATGTAATGTGTGGGGTGTTTTTTTATCTGGTAATCACCAGAATAAGTAGGTTTCTACTGTAGACCCAATGCTTGTAGATATGAAATATTTATCTGACACTTCACAGCTAATTGTGATTCTGAAGATCTGTGGAAAGTTTGTTAAGCGGTTGGGTTATTAATGTTTTGGAAAATTGTCAGAATCAACAAAAATAAGCTTTGTATTGGCAAACATGTTTCAATATAGTTACTCTTGTATTAACTTTTGGAAATATTTTTTCCTTTTTTTCAGTGAAGAATATATAATAAGAAAATGAGGGAGGATGTAATGAGTAAGCTCTTGAAGATGTGTATGAGATTGAAGCTCAAATCAAATGGCTTATTCAAGGCAAGGCAAAAACATTCAGAGGCTGATGGTTAGAACATTAGTAAAACCTATGATAAAAAACACATAAGCTTTATTATTTTTTCTTTTAATGAAGTGCTGTAGGCAGCTAGAAGTCTTAGGTCAGTATGTGCTCATTACTTCTGATTGACAGTTGGGCAAGAAAAATAGAATATACTGAAACATGAATAGTGGGTTTGGATTCTTCCCAAAACTTGAAAATGTATTTCAAGAAAATAACAGCAGCTGAAGAAGTGAGCACCTCTTTGTTGTATTTGACAGCAAATTAATCTTTTTTTTTCTGAATGTAATCTTTCTTTAAAAACATTTCATCTCATAAAAATGTGTGACCTAAGGTTCATGTTCCAGTTTATTTTGAGAGCAAAATATTGTCAATCTGAATTCCTCTTAACCTAATATTTAGATTGCTTCCTGTCTATTTTGTAGCTATTAATTTGAAGCTAGTTTAAAATCACCTAACGTAATTCCTGTAATGTAACACCTGTTCCAAGCAAAACTACTTTCTTAGTCTCCATGTTTTGAGCTTCATGCTTAAGAAATAGTTTTCAATTGTGATTTGAAATTTGCCTAAACATTCTAGGACTAAGTATCCTTATTGAGTTACCAAATTGATGCTGCTGTAGTAATGCAGAAGTGTAGAAACTAGTGTTTCGAAGTGCAAAAAAGCTTTGGGTATTTTGGGTCATTTCTATTTACTTCCTAATATAAGGGACTTTAGATTCAAAATGCATTTTCCAATGCAGTTTTATGTCATGCTGTGTATTATACTACTAAACCTTGTCAGAATGGAAAGCTAAGCTATACGATATTCTTGCTGCTGTAGATTTTAGTAGTATGTTAATCTAGTTCATTAGAATTTATAAGGTGATAGAACTCAATTAGCTCTTACTGGGATGATGCAAATAAGTAGCTTAGAATTATGTAACTGTTGATCAACAGATAAATTTGGTGGTTTTTTTCTTTTGAATAAAACTGGCTTGGGTAGGCCCTTATTAGGAGGTTGGGGATGTTTTTGTTTTGTTTTTTAAGTCTATTATTAGTGTTCTGTATGCAAACAGAGAATTAGGCTAAGCATTATAAATTTAAAAGCAAAAAATCCCTGACTTACAGCTGGATAGAATTTTTCTCTTTTCTTAGAAGACAGCTTCCCCAATCTTACTTTGATATCTTTAGAAGTGTTCTCTGTATCTCTTTCACCTTACCCCTGCCATGAGCTCCAGTTGTGAGATTAGAATAATTTTGGGGAAAAGCTGTAGGAATTTAATGTGGTCAATTTTTTATTCCCTTGAGGTCAGCTAAAGCACAGAGGTGATATGGTAAGAAGAATATGGTGATTTCAAAAAAGGCTATGTCCATTCTCTTCAAAGCACAGAAAACAGAAAATAGTGTCTTTTTTTTTTTTTTCCTACCAGTAACCATGGATGTCCTTTTACCTCTATACTTGAGCAGCACTCTGAAAGTCCCATCCTGAACCCTCCTACGTGTCACCAGGGCTGCACTGTTCTCTGGGGTCCTAAGTTTTCTTCTGCAAAGTTTCTGATAAGGTGGAGACCTGGTAAGGTGAGAGTGCAGGGGCTGGGTCATTGGCCATCCCTTGAAATCCCAGGGGACAGGCGGGTGGCACAGTCACTGGAACAGGAGGGTGCTAGCAAAACCCCGTCTTCCCTAAGCTCATTCCCATTCCCCTCTTTGCAGCATTAAGTGGAAGTCCCCTTGGCTGAGGATGGGGCAGGCAACCTTGCAGGGACTCTTGCCAAGATTTGTGAGAAACTTTCCAGGGAAAGCCATGCGCCTCAGGGACAGGAGGAGACGTATGTCATGGGACGCAGGAGATAAACACAGAAACCTGTCTCTGGGACTTGGCTGATCTGCCTCTTCTCAGGGCCCACAGGGCCCTGCTTTGTGTCAGCCGGGGCTAGTGGGCTGGGAGAGTGGCTGGACTTGGCCAGGAGCTGCAGCCCATGACTGGACATGTTGGTCCACAGGGTTGCAGGGCAAACTGAAAGGCTGCAGAGCTGGAGCGGGCACTGCCTGCTGTCATCCGCTGGCATATTCCAGCTTTGCATAATCCAAAGGTCAGTGGAGGCCAGGAGATGTGTAAACAGCTGCTTTGAATTCCCTAGTGCAAATGTGGGTACTGAAACCATAGTGCTAAAGTCTATAGGGTGCAGTTGCTAGCAACTCCTTTGAAACCAGTTCTTGCGCTTAGTTGGATGTTTTCCCTATGGCAATAACTTTCAAAGTGTTGGTACCTTTATACCACATATTACAAATGTCAGAAATTATCAGACTGTGGGTTAGAGGTGGCAAATGCAGCATTTAGATGTTAAGATGGCTTCCCAATAGATGGCTTCCAAGCATCAGAATATATAGTATTTCGGTAAACTCAGTTTTCCATCGAACTCGTTGACTGTGTCACTTCATATAAATAACATTAACACAGATGATATAAAGAGACATTATCTCTTTTTTTTCCTGTGCTAAATCTTTTTCCTGAAAATGTGATGTATCTTTCATTTGAAACTTGAAACATTTTCTTGCTTTCAAGATAATATATGTTTATCTGCAAGTGAAGGTAGGGTTCATCTCTCTCAAAAGTTCATTTTTAATTATAAAAACTGTCCTAGGCTTCAGATTAATCCAATTCCAGATGGAACACTCTTTGCAAACCTTCAGATCAGAATTTGTTTAAAGAATAGAAACAATAGCTTAGAGCTACAATTGCTAAATTCACTCAAGTGAGTTCACTAAGCTGATTTACATTCAATAGTAATTAAAGTTTGTTTTTATTTTTGAATTGGTATTATTCATCTGCCAGAAGCAGTCTTGGAATAACTACAGGTTTTGATATTTTCTCTGTTTCATTGGAAGTAATCTTTTAATATGATGATTTTTTATCTTTCAAGTACAGCAAAAGAAAAAAGAAATTAGAGCTCTTCATAGGGATTGTCTTCATAAGCTTATTTTCTACCACACGATTCTGAGGTTTTCCTGATGAGAGAAATGCTATTTCTGAATTGGTAAGGATTTGGTAAGCGTTTCCCCAAAAAAAAAAATTTAACATTTTTTTCCTTTTTGCAATTAGTTTTTTTTTCTTTTTTTTCTCCATACCAACTGATAAGCTTCATGAAATATCCATCATCATGAAACTTCAGTCTTTTTGTAGGTGTTCTTTTCAAAGTTAAATTATTAGCAAGTAATTTAAATCCCACACCAACCTTTAAAATATTTGTCTTGGGATTAAAGAACTTCTGAGACTTTTGAGAAGTTACATATTAATTACCAACATTATAGAAGCCTGTTTTATGGAATTTCTACTCTATTTAAACTATTTCTAACTATTCAAACTATTATAACTGTTTAAAGGAGGAAAAAAATGGGGAAAATAAAGGGTTTTTTTATTATTTTGCCCGTTTTGCTCCCTGAATTCATCA